CGGTGAAATGGAATGAAGTATGTTCATTGCCTCCTCGAAGTTCTTGCTGAAGGATTCTTCTGTTGTTTGTGCTTTTTCTAGAATGTATCGGGAACTTGGTTTGATTCTCGTTGTGCTGTCGCTTGTGGTTTCGTATCTTTTGTTTTCTGGGGTTGCGGCTTCCATGTGAATTTCTGTGCATATGATTTCCTCGCAGGAAATTTGTGACGGGGCGCTGTCGGGTATCCGATTGGTGTCGACTTGTGGGATTTCGGCTGGCTGATCTGGGGTACTGATGTCGGTTGTAGCGAGTTCGACGTGTGCTACCAAACAAGATTCAGAGGCATTTGAGATTTGAGCTATGGGAATAGCGTTTCCCAGCGTTGTGGCCAGTGTGCCCTTTCTTTGTCTTGAGGATCGTCGTATCTCGGGAGTTTTTTCTTCAGGTGTGGCTTTTATGTCTATTCGTTTTGCGGCTGGTTTATCTGGTGACGGTGTTTTTTCGTACTGATCGGTATATGACGATAGTGAAATGGAAGTGTCGCATTCAAATTGGATTTTTGTCAGGTCCAGTTTTGGTTTTTTCTTAGGGCTCATTTTTCCAGATGGTTTTGTTTGTTGTTGCCGCTGCGTTTTCGGGTCCTTGTTTAATTGTTTTGTACATTGTGGTAGTTTCGGTTTGCTGTTGAAGGCACTGAACAGCTTCTTTGGTCCCAAGGCTTTTTGATTCAGCGATTGTTGTATAATGTCCTGAATCGTTTTTGGAGGTGATCGCTTTGGGCTTGTTGTTGTTTTTACCTCTGTGGTGGTATGTTGGTTGGTGGTCTTTTTTCCTGAAACACGTGGTTTGGCTCGAGGTAGATGTGTATATGCCACAAAGTCCTTTAACCCCGCCGGCCTACATTTCCCGTATACCATTGAATCCGGAATAAAGGTAGGCCATCGTGCCTTATTACCCGCGGTTGTTTGCCATCTCCTCTTATCCACGCGGTGTGTGGGGAGTAATTTTGTATTCACCCATTTTTTGATAATTTTCAATTGTGCCCCAAATGTTCCTGGATTTTATATTTTTCGTGCAATTGTTCCCGATTTTCTAACTACTTGCTTTAATCGAAGACCTGTTTTAGGGTCAATTGTGTGAGCTGGACCTTTGAATCGGTCTTTTAGGAAGATTGGGGGTGTCCTTTGGAGGTGTTCTTTCGCTTGATTAGTGAGTGGTCTTATTGGCTTACGCGTTTTTAAGTTTTCTAAGTTGGTCGACTTGTCGCTTAGAAATGATCTTTTGATTTTAAATGCATCGTAAGGTTTGTTTGAAAGTGGTAGATGCGTACCTAATGGAAACTTCTTGAGCAGTTGTTGGTCATAGTCTTCGTCGCTGCTTTCCAGCGTAATTGTGTCTTCTCGGTGTATTGGCACCGGTTGGATTTTTGCGCGTCGTTTTCCCGGGTTGTTGTCTTGTTGGTGACTTTTTGGGCCCTGCGGTTCGTCCACTGTTGTGGTAGTTGTATTCTCGACAGGGTTGAAGGTAGGTTCAGGCAAGTATTGGTGGTCCATTCTTTCTGGCACCACTGTTTCCTTAGCCCCTGCGTCTTTGTAGACTAGATCCAGCTCATCCTGGCTGTTCTTCTCGCGGTCCCACATAGCTTCCGCAGTTAGTGCTGGCTTTGTAAATACTTTTTCATCTAAACATGAAAGCTTAGTGTTTTTCCATGAGAGATTTGAGAGTTTTGGTGATGTGCTAATATTGGTTAGTGCTGTTTTAAGCTTTCGACGAAAATGGGCTTCAAACGGGGTTACTTTTGTAGTTGCGTTTGGCGTTATGCGAAGTGTTTTAATTAGTTCGGCGACGTCAGATGCGAGTTTATATGGATTGTTGGTTTTGTCTGTCAATTTTCATGATTGATAGTCTCGATTTTAGAGTTCCTATGAGTCGCTCGACTATACCCATTACCCTGTGGTCATCCACTGGTGCGAATAATAATTTGATATTATTGGATTTGCAATATATTAAGAACTTTTTGGCTCGAAAACCTTGGGCTTGGCCGCATTGAATATTACGGGGAACCCCTTGATTTACCATTTGATTTTGCATAAAACAAACGGTTGTATCCGCTTTATTGTTTGAAACAAGCTTTGCGTAAGGAAAACGAAAGAAACGATCCACTCCGACCAAGATATATTCTTTTTTATTTTCATCCTGCGTCGAGTGTTCTTTAGTAATTTTCCCTGCGATTACTTTAAGACTCTTACCTTTCTCGAGGCAGCTTTTACAATTCTGTGCTGCGGACACAATACCACAGTGCAAGTAGGGATACCAGACATGTTTTGCCGCTTCTAGCATGCCGCCTTGGCCTGTGTGTGTGAGTTGTAACGCGTCCCTTAGTGTAGGTCTTAAATGTTAGGGTATGACAACCTTATCATCGCATAGTAGAATGTTGTCTCTAACTGACATTCGGTGGCACACCTTGCAAAAGTTAGGACCATAGCATTGTTTCAGACTGTCCCATTTTTGTTGTTTCACCATATTCATCAATGGTGATAGTTTCCGGTCTCTTTGTGTAGCTGCTGCCAAAAACTCGACATCCATAATTTTCCTTAAGTTTTTCCGCAACAAGGGCTTGTTCTCCTTTTCCACTTTGGTTGTCTGGCATTCTGTCGTGGTTGTTTCTTCCTGCAAGGTTTGGCAGATGACGTTGACTTTTTCGTTTTCTACCCTCCTGCCGATGGAATGACTTGGTGTGTGACAATACTGATGGTAAGTTCAGGCGATGGTGGTTTGTTTAAGTAATTGTTGAAGGTGGCGTAATTAATGGGAGCGAATGTGAGTTGAGTTTGTGCGCCACTGTGGCATTTCCTAGTAATTCTCTTAAAGGGGGCAAGTTATATTCTTAACCGCATCTATTATGTTTTTGAACGCTTTTTCGTTTTCCTCCTTCCTTACAAAATTAAATTTGTTGGTTGTAGACAGTAGAGGTCGTAAGGGGGTACATAATTGTGCCAGATTAGGAATAAACTTGTTCAAGTGTTGGATAGACCCCATAAAACTTTTTGAAAATTTGTTTGAGTTGTTTGAAAATTTTTGGGTGTTGCAGGTTTACTATTACGTCCGTCTTCTTTGGCATAGGAGTTGTGCCGTATTCGTTGATTGTGAATCCCAGCCGCTCTACTTTTTTGCACCCAAATTTACTTTTGTTAACTGAAATGGCCATGTTTTCGGCAGCTAACTTATCTAGGACTTTTGTTAGTTTCTCTATGTGTTGCTCTTTGGTACCGTGCGAAATGATTAGAATATCATCTAAGAATCGAAAGTGTGTGTTTCGTTATTAAGGGTCGGATCTATGGCCTTCTGAAACTCCGCGGGCATGTAGGTTAGCCCGTAGAAGCCTGTTTGTAGCTGGTAGGTTCCTTTAGCTCTACCGCTAATAATGCTTAAATTACACTGCGTACGCGTTGTTTCATCAAGTAGCAGTTGGCTATACGCGTAGCGTAGGTCTAATGAAGAAAAAATGTTGTCCCTGGCTTATTTGTTCCTTCCTGAGCCTACTGTGCTATATTGTCTAGCAAAACCTCAATGTTCGGCATTTGGTATTTGTTCTTATTTATCGATTTTTTATTTGTTTCGAATCCATTGCTAACTTTTTTGACTGATCTTTTTTCACCGTTATCACAATAGGGCTTATAAAATGTGGGTCACTGCTTTTTTCCAGACGGACTATATGACCTCGGTCAATTAGTGATCGAATTTCTTTTTCCACTTTTTCTTGAATATGAATGATCGAATTTCTTTTTCCACTTTTTCTTGAATATGAATGGGAACACGTCTTCCTCATTGCTGCAAAGCTTTGAATTCTCTTAAGAATTGAGTATGAACCATCTGATTTTTTGAGCGCCCTATTCGCGTACAAAGTCCAGGGTACGTGGTTTTGACCCACGCCTCGATTTGTGTGCCTGACCTGTCAATGTTATTGACATGAAGTGTTGAATTACCAATTGGCTTTCGCTGCTGGTGCAGTTGTATTCCAATTTGCGGAAGAAGGTTGCGCCCCAGCATCTTCGCTCGTCTGTCATCCACCACTATGAAAGAGGCTGTTTGAATCGTCCATCCTCCTGATTCTATGGGGGCGATCAATCGGCCAAGGGACAGGAGTTTGTATCCATTGTAGCAAACCATTCGGTTAGCTTCGTCGTCGTCTCCCAATTTGATTTTAACTGCCGATTTT